AAGTATCTCCTAACTTTTTCACTGAGATGTTTTAAAAATATCATAAGTTTACATGACCAGAACTTCCCTCCCCACATCTTTTCCCATTTCACTAAAGGGGATGCCAGGACAAAATCCTGGTGTCATCTGGATTCCTTCCTTACCTTTGTTGGCTGCATCCAGGTCTCTGTAAGTCCTGTTGGCTCCACAACAAAATTTATCCCAACTCCACCTGCTTCTCCTCACCTCCCTGCCACAGCCAGCACCCCAACCACCATTTTCTCTCACCAAGAGAGAGGTACAGCTCGTGCTATACTTAAACGTCCACACCACCGAGTGATTTTTCTATATGCATATATCACATTATGCCACTCTCTCCACCCCATCCCAACACACTACCCCATTACTTTTAAAATAAAATCTAAATTCTTAGCTGTGGTCACAAGGCTCTGTCTGATCCAGACACTTCTTCCTTCATGACCTCATCTCCTTCTACTCAACTCCTCTGTACTCTGACCACACTGGCCTGTTGTTTTTGGAGCATCACAAGCTCTCCTAATAGCCTTTATAGTTTTTCTTTTGGAGCTTTTTGTTGTTGTTTAGTTTAGTTTAGTTTTGTTTTGTTTTAAGTAGGCTCCATGACCAGTGTCAAGCCCAACACAGGTCTTGAACTCATGACCCTGAAATCAAGATCTGAGCTGAGATCAAGAGTCAGATGCTTAAATGACTGAGCCACCCAGGTACCCCTGTAGTTCTTTCTGCTTGGAACACTCTTCCCCCAAATATTCATGTGGCTGCTCCCCTGATAGATTGTCTATCTCTCTGTGTTGGAATATAAATTCATTGATGGTGAAGTTTCTGCTGATTTTGCTAACTGCTATATCTCCAGCATCTTGAACAATGCATGGAATATAGTTAACTGTTTAATCAGTACTTACAGCCCCACTCTCTCTTCTAAAATATTCCCTGTCTTCTACTGCTTTCAGAATGAACATTCTGCCTTAGGTGGGTAATTCAAGGGCCACAACAGTTAAGTCACTCCAACCCTCAAATTTTATTTACTTCTACTGTTCAAAGCCAGCCCTCTTCGAGGGTGAAAATGCTTTTTGGATGATATCTTTGCTCGGTCTGTTTCCTCTGCCTATAGTGCCCTCACTGTACCACTTCTTCTGTTTAAACTTCTAGCAAAGCCCAATCTGAGAAACACCAGGCCTTAGTGGACTCTTAGAACACACCTGCCCACAGCAATTTCTCCCTCTTTCAAATTCCAACTACTCTTATATGTGCTTACAAAGCACTATACTGCACTATTGGGATCTTTTAATGGTTGTCCTATGTCTTCAGTTAAATATCTACACCCAAAACAGAGAATGTTTGTAAAATGTTTTGAATCCCCAGTACCTTCATAGAGTGACTCACAGATCGTAGGAAGGCATTCAATGTTTGTACATAAATATAATTCTTGTTCTAATGCTGAAATTGGTATAGTCTATTAGCAGTCATTTCTTTAATGCCCATTGGATTCCAGATGCTGTACAAAATGCTTTTAACATCTGGATCATCTTTCCTGAGGACACTTGACAGATATGATTTCATCATTAATCTTTTTCTTTCTTTTTTTTTTTAAAGATTTTATTTATTCATTTGACAGACAAAGATCACAAGTAGGCAGAGAGGCAGGCAGAGAGAGAGGGAGGAAGCAGGCTCCCTGCCGAGCAGAGAGCCTGATGCGGGGCTCGATCCCAGGACCCTGAGACCATGACCTGAGCCGAAGGCAGAGGCCTAACCCACTGAGCCACCCAGGCGCCCCTCATCATTAATCTTTTTCTTAATCCTACAGTGCCCTCTAGTCTATATTTCTGCATTATTACCCTCGAAGGTTTGTTTTTCTGATCATTTTTCTTACTCCAATTATGTTCTACTTTTTAAAATTCAGAATCTGAAATGTTAACAAAATTATAACTGAAGAAGGTAAATATAAGAATTAAATAAAATGCCAAATATAAAGTGCCTGGTACTAGAGTTGGTATGGTCTGGGAGGTCAATAATGAGAGCTATATATTACAGATTCTTCTCAGATGAATTCTACTTACATAGCATGGTGTTGTGCATATTTGTAATTTATAATAATTAAAAACTTTATTGACAATGTGTGTGCTTCTACATACAGGGAAGTTTCTGTGCTCTCAGTTCTATGGGGAAAAACAAGAGAAGGCAAGGATCTCACTGGTCCTCTCTGAGCTGACATCTACTTGGAGTCAAGTCTGATGGCCATGAAACAGGGGTGATAAGGAGCTGTCCATAACCAAAGGTCAAACTGAGCCCTAATAATCACGTTTCAATGTTTTATGGAGTTGATGCCCATTATTTTATTTGCCTCTCCCAACCCTGCAAAGTAAGTGCTATTATCTTTACTCTACGGATAAAATAACCAAAGCTCCAGGAGGTGAATTCTCCCTTCCTAAAGGACAGAGCTTGGTTTGAAATTCATTATTTTGGAATCGGGTTCAGTGCTCTTTGCAATACAGTTTTCATGCATTTCCTGTTCGTTCTTTCAGTGGTTTGGTCATCCATTCAGCAACAAGTTGTTTAATACCAACCATATATCATGCACTGGGCTAGGTGATTGGGATAAAAGGCAGTAAGATACTGCCCTTGTCTAGAACACAGACAACAGGCAGAAACAGTATGTATTAAAGAAATTCACACAAAAAAATTGCTAAAGGCTGGTTCAAGAAATACTGTCACAATGAAGCAGCTCCCTATTCAATTCTCATTCCCCCCCATGAAGGCTGGATTTTTTTTTGTTGTGTTCATTATCCCTATTATTCTCTATATATTTGTAAAAGTAGTGTTTCTTGTTGCTTTTTTCAAACCCAGGGACACTGAGATGAGGAGAGACTGGATGGCTTACAAGCTACAGTGCACACCAGCATGCAAAGGTTGTGATGGCAGGAGCTCTGCCCTCTTCATTCTGAGTGTAGTCTATGGACGCACTTTGCTCAGCACCACTGATGTGCTCCAGGTACACTGAGCTGACCGATGTTTTGCAAACAGAAGCTTATGTAAATACAGCAAAAGAGCCTGTTATTTAAAGGACTCTTATGAATCTTTTAAATTGTTATTGTCTTTGTTACCTTCAGGTCCCAACCATGTTTCTTAAAAAACAACAACAACAACAACAACAAAAACTGTGTTTCTTCTCTATTTTCTTGCTTCTCAGTTACTTCTCAAACACTCTGAATTCTCATTCAGCCTTTTCAAAATCATCCTCATTATGGGCATTAGCTGAAAAAAATCCACTGGACTTCTCAGTATTTCTCTTACTTGAACTTCCTTCCACATCTCACACTCCTATTTTATTGAAATTCTAGGATGTCGCATAATCTTGTAGATGAATCTCAACTCAGTGTCTTTAGGCTTGATAGATTCATCTCTCCATCTCCTCACTGGACATTTCAACCTAAACTCATTCATTCTTTTACTCATTCAATTATTCAACAAATATTTACTGGGTGCCTACTAGGTGATAGGCAAAGGACTATACCTTGAGACAAATATGATCAACAAGGCATTTACTGTCTGAAGCTGGGAAGCAGGAAATAGATATTCACAAGCAACTCAGTGGGTCTAAAAATGAACTCATGGGTTCTCCTTTATTCTACAAGCTCTATACCATTTAAAACTCCTACAGTGATCCCAAAGCATTCAAGTCAGAACTTTGAAACTTTTCTCTGCTTCCCTTTTGCTCAGCCATAGACTGTGGCTGAGTCCCTTCAAGCCTATATCTTACGGTTCCCTTAATCTCTTCCTTCCTCTCCATTCTCCCTGGTCCTACCCTAGCTTGGATCCTTACCATCTATCGCCTATTTTACCATGTAATGTCCAAAATGATCTCTTCACCCCTGGCCTGAGACCAGCCATCCCCATCCCACCCTACTCCAGCCATACTTCTCTTACCATGAGAGAGACCTTTCTAAGTTCAGATTTCAATCAGACATTCTCTGCTAAAAAATGTCTTTAAGAGTTCCCCTCCTTTCAGGAAAAGTCCAAACACCTTCTTATACATTAGAGGTCCTTCTGGCTGGGTTCCTGCCCACTTTCCAGCCTTACTTCCTGCTGTGCCTCCCCAACCATCCCCACTGCCCCTCCCCACCACATCCTACACTCCCATGATGAATAATGGAATTTCTCAGATGTTACGTGAAAAAGAAATGCAAATATTCCGTCCTCTCGGAATCCATTTGAACATCCTCCCCTAGGCAGAGTTTATCCATTACCTTCTGCTTTAGCCACACTGCACATTCTACATCCTAATTAGTGCAGCAACCGGTAATTGAGCATTTACTGATTCTGACATCATGCTAGACCCAGAAGCGATAAAGGACATGAGCTTTGCAGGTAGCAAGATTGTGTCAAGTCCCAATTCACTGTTTGTTTAGCAAGTTGCTGGCCCTCTCTCTACCTCCATTTTGTCATCTGTGAAATGGGGATAATAAAAACCCTTTCATTGAGTGTTGTAAGGATTAATGAGACTACAGACAAAAAATACTTGCCTAGTATCTGTTACATGATAAGCTATTATTAAGTTGAAGTCAAATTATTGTTATTGGACTTTTTATATATATCATGGAGAATTTGCTCCCAAGCCCTAAGGCTTTATCTCCATTTCACAACTAAGGAGGTTAGGTTGCTTTTCCAAAGCCATGTAATTAGAAAGCAGTAAAAGTTTAGAGTTCGGATCCACGTGACAAAACACCATTCTAGCTCTTAAGACCTTGTGTGAGATGTATTTCCTGTGTGCCCAGCTTCGCCACCCGGATTGGAAGCTTGTCGAGGGCAGACCTTGTCCTATTCATATGTCACATAGGAGAAGTTTAAGAACGAATGAACAAGTGAATGTTTCAGCCAAGGCAGACTGATGGCTGTGAGATCTCAGTCCTGGGGGAGGGGAAGAAGGGCTGGTATGATCACAGTGGCAAGGGAACAAGAGGCATCCCCCAGGTTCTGGGGTCACTCACTCATCGCCTCTATTTGCACGTGGATGAGGTTCTCGACGTCCTCCTGCAAGGTCTGATGGGGCTTCAGGGGGATGGGCAGGTAGCCGTAGTGCTCTCGGTTGCAGACGTACATCTGGATGCCTGAGGACCCAAGACACCAAAAAAGCAACCAATCAGAAAACACAGTTCTTAGTTCTCTAGAGACAACTAAGGGGAAACACACACACACACAGAGACCCCAAAATCCTTAGACTGTGGCTGAAGCTGAGTTTGGCACTGAAACTGAACAGTAGTTGTTTCAGACACTGTCTGTAGACCTCAAAAATGCTCTTTATTAAGAAAATTTAACACAGCATTGGAGGCTAATAAAAACCATGGGCCATTCTTCAGCTCAGAGGAAATTGATTTTTTTCTCTCCGAAGAAAAAGCATCCCCGTGATCTGAAAATGAACACGAAAGGCATGAAGGGATCAAAGAAGGCAAGCAATTCCCATTCCAGAGAACAGAATGGAACACTGTAATCCGCCTACAGGAAATAACAAGAAAATGAGGAATAAAACCCACATTTGATATGAAAGCCAACAGGAAGATCCTGCGAGGCTGACAGATTATTAAAGCTTAATCTAGGCATACGAAGAACAAAAAACAAAGGAAATTTAGAATTCTCCATGGCGTCTCCATGGTTTTATTTCTTCTCTTAGCAGGCATGGATTGGGAGCCAACCAAGAGATGTGAAACTTGTATAACAGATTCATAAAGGGACAAAGTCTGCATTTCAAGTCCTGGTAAGGATCCGCAGTGTAGCAATACCAGAAATATGCGCCAGCCCCGTTGTATTCAACACTGGGTCTCCAGGCCCCATATGGTTAACTCCAAGAGCTGCTAGCACCTCTGTTTAACCAGACAGCTGGGAATATAGGAATCAAGATGGTCTCATAGAGATCCAACAATTGACAGTCCTGCCTAATGAAAAGATTGCTTAATTCAAAGGATGAGTCTGCCAAGCTCTGGTCCATGGGTCCAAGCTTCGGACTGGTTAATTGCTGTAATCATCTATGCTTTCCAGACACAGAATTACCTGCATAGTGACTTCTCTATGTTGTGCAGATGAAATTTCCTCCAGTCAGTTCTATCACCTGCCAAATCAGGTGAAGCTGTCTCATGGCATTAACAGAGAAGAACGGGGGAAAGAAAAGGGCCTTTATCCTCCTCTTTACTGAATCTGGCTCAAATCAGGGCTGTTCCAAGATGCATGGTTGCTTCTCTTGCTTCTCCAAGTGAACTCACTAATTCTGCTGTTTGCCCACGCAAACGCTTCTGAGGCGCTTCAAACCCAAATGTAGCCTCTTGCAAAGTTATGATGAGATCAGGAAATGGAAGGAAAGTGATTTCATGTTTCAGTTGCCTCTCGATCCTAATTAGGTGACTCATTTTACCATTCACCTTTCCAAAGCTTCAGTAAAAAGGGAAAGGAGACCTAGAGAAGCTGTCCATCAAATGTGGAGGGACAAGAAAGGTATTTTCACACAGGCAAGGTTATATGTATTATTTACTATCGCACTTTCTCAAAAAGCAACTGGATGATGCGGGAAAAAGAGAAGTGGGGGAGGAGTAAAGGGGAGGAGAAGAGGAGGGAGTGGATCACAGAAAACAAGGAAGACCTGAGACATAATTGACAGGGGCGTCCCTATGGGAGGGAGGGGAAGGGTGTCTGGGGTTGGGGTCAGTAGGTGTGGTACCACTCAGATGCGAGCACATCTGAAGGCTCCAGGAGAGACATCTTCACAATCATGCAAAAAGAACATCTGAAAAATCGGACCATTCTAAGAGAGGTTTTAGACAATTAGAGCTTAGTTTTAGATTGTATAAGGAATAATAAAACTAAGCAAAACCCAAAAAGGCCATTTTTAATTTAAAGATGGAAGGAAAATTAACATAGTCTATAAGTGGCTCAGCTTGGAATTAGGTTTGCATCACTCTATTATTTTTTCTTTTTTAATTAAAAACATTTTTTAATTTAAATTCAATTCAATTCAATAGTACATCATTAGTTTTTGATGCAGAGTTCAATGATTCATTAGTTGCTTATGATGCCTAGTGTTCATTACATAACTCTAACAACAAAAACACTGGCCATGATTTATCTTAAATCACCATATAATTCTATCAAGAGGGCAGGGGAGAATGTGTTTGCACTGAGGGGGCACAGGGAGGATAGAGAGCTAACTCCTCACCTTCCATAGTGGACAGTCAATCCATAATGCCTCAAGCAAAATCAGAGAATCGAGAAGTAGCAACATGAGCACATTATTTAGAAGCACAGATATAATACTACACATCTACCACCATCTATTAGAGTTAGGTGTCTGTCTTCTAGAAGAGGGGAATGTTGGTACAGGGGGGTAATGTGTAGGGGACTTCTAATTTTATAATAAATCTTGGAACACTCTTTGAACTCTTTGAACTACATACATGGGTAACTTGATAAAACCATAAACATTTTTAAAGGAAATGTGTTGGTCATTAGTTAAAGTCTATGAAGGAATCTGGTACTCTCAGTGAAAGCTACTACTAGAGAAAATTTTCTGTCCCTTCAGAAAAGAACGATAAATGAAACTATACCTCAAAGCTCTGTACTTGTCTTGTGAAAATATCATACATTTTCTTGTGCTCACATAGTACCTTAAACAGCAAATTGATATGCTTATTTTTAATTGATTTGATGACAAATCAGATTCGGAAGGGCTATGACTTGTCCAAGGTCACACAGTAAGTCATTAGCATGAAACCTTGGTCTCTAAAGAGCCAAAGCCAAGTAAGGGGACCTTATCTGCCCAGGGTTCTGAAGCCAAGTCTCAGAACCAGAACTAACTCTGAGTTGCCATTCTTGCACGTGGGAGGCATGTTGATTACCAGTGCCATGTAGGAGGCAAATCTGCCTGCCCATCACCCACATCTCTTGCTTTTTTTGACTCAACAGCAGACATTCAGAAGATGACTGACTGGCTGGTGCTGGAGATGGCTCCTGTGGCCACGATACAAAGCCCACATCCCTGGCCACAATGGGAAGTGAACTCCTGACTTTGGCTTTCTTATAGCTACAGAGACTTGTCTATGACCCCTATGCTCCCCTCCGGGGCTAGATGAGTGGGAACTCCCCAGTGCACCAGCACACTTGGATTGCCCCTCCCACTCATCCACCACATGTGGCGATGACTGGAGTTAGAGGTGAAAGGTTAAGGATCAAGGTCTGCGGTTAGACAGTCCTGCTGGGTACCTGCAGGCTCTTGATTGCTTTTCGAACATTTTACAAATGAGCTTTAATGGGTGAAACACAGCTCGGAAGCTTCACAGAGTGAGAATAAGAGAATGAATATCATCTTTCATCAGGGGAGAAGGGGAGTGCTTTGCTCTGGATCTCCAAAGCTCCCGTGGGCCGTACAGGGCTCCCGGGCTCATTCTTGTCTCTCCTGGAAATACTTCTAGAGAAGTTCAAGTGCCACCGTGGAGCCATAGGACTGTCAGGAAAGCTCTTTCATTTCCCCCAAATGACAGTAATTCTTTCCTGCTTGACCCCTGATGCGTTCATGGTTTATGCCACAGGTGTGACCTCAGCTTGTCCTGCCTCACAACTACTACCAAGGTTTCCACATGGGAAGACCTTATCTCCCCCAGTAACACAGAGCCTAACACGATGCCAGGCATGAAGGCAAGGCCTAGGGTATTGATTCTCTCTCCTTTCTCTTCTACCTCCTCTCTCCCCTGTTGAATCACCAGACAGCTTTGGGCCTCTCCACCTGTTTCCAATGTCCTGGGAAGGCCTATGGGAGTCTGACCCACAAAAAAAAAAAAAAAAAAAAAAAAAAAAAAAGGAAGTTTGAGTGAACAGGCCAAGCAAAGGACAGAGATGAAAAATTCCTACTGAGCCCATGTCACTCTCCAGTCCCAAATCCAGTTCTTGATTTAAAAAAAAAAAAAAATCCTAATAATTGAGTGCTTGGGTCACAATAATACCTTATGCACTATCAAAGAGGGCTCTGTTAGGCAAAGGCCATTACTGTAATTGTGAACAGTTCACTTTCTTGGAACATCCTTACTGCAGGCTTGGAAGCAAAGGGACTGGCACAACCCAAGGGAATGAGACGGTCCCAAGTCTGCTTCCCATCCTGGAGAAGTCAGAGCAAATCACCGATGGAGTTTTAAAAAGGCAGTTTCCATTAACTTTGACCCAAGAACCTTCATAAAAACTCCCAATCCAGATGAGGATAGGAACCCAGCTTTGGCCTTGACCCAGGGTTCAAGAACGCCTACACCTGTCCCAAGCACCTAAATGGCTCTAGCAGCCAAGAGAAAATAATCAGCCTTCCCCATTTCCACCAAATATTCTCATTCCTACCAAGTCTACAACTGATGAGTGGGATACGGATGGCTTTAAAGATGGCCTGATGTGTGCGCTATAGCTTGAGCTGGTATCAACATTCTTACCTGCCAGCAACCTGCCTCAGTTTCCTGGGGTCCTGATCCCATCCCCCCTAATGTACATGGCCACACGAGTTTATGCACCACCTGTCTGGTTTCTAAGCTCACTTTTGTTGGTGGTGAAGTGGCACTTTTCTGGCTCATGGATAGTGGGACCTGACTTCTCTCAGGAAGGTCGAAGGTCTCAGTGATCTTGAGATTACAGCCTTGCTTGAGGAATGTCGTATATCTTCCTGCTGAGTTGCCATAATGAATGAAAGCCTCCCTGATGGCATGTGCAGGGTGACACAAGAGAAATGACTTACCCTCCTACTGACTTTCATCCTCAAAAAGCCTACCGACCCCACTGGAAATGTTTTCCAGTGGTTCGTGAAAGACTCTGGCTCTGCCTTTCCTTGCATGGGGACTGTGGCAGAAACCGCTGGTTACCTCCACAGATCTATCCCCTCCTCCTTTAGAGTAAAAGAACTGGGGCTCTAGATTGCATAGAATCAAAAGCACATTCTGAGCCCTGCTTCCAGCTATGTGTTGACCTGTGACTAAGTTCTGGCTAAGGGGACATGCATGGAAGTGACACGTTCAAGTGCTTAAATGAGAGTGCCCTTCCCTCTCCAACTTACACTCACTAGCTAGAACGCATCCATAGAGATGAGCTGTCTTGGGTCATCCAGTTAGGGGTGAAACTCCTGGAGGATGGAGAAGCAACAGAGAAGGAGCCAGGGGCTCTGAAAACTTTGGGGAACAGAGCCACTCTGCCAGTTCAGACTTTTTTAAAGAAGAGATGAACTTCTATTTTTAAAGCCTGGGGTCTTTGCCAGTGTTGTTTCGGGCTTCTGTCACAGTTTCCTAAATAATTAAAAATTCCTGTAGGGAACAGAATGACGCAGCAGCATCACAGAGAAGAAATCACCTGCTCGTGGTGGCTGCCACCAGCACTGTCTCCCCAGTAGTCAAAAAAAGAGAGAGTGGATTTCTGAGGAGGGGCCAGCCCTGGCTCTTGGTCATTGGTGCTCGCAGGGACAGCAACAGATAGTCCTGAATTGCAAATAAGTGTCTCTAATACCACATGAAAGGAAAGGTTTATATAGGCCCGTTTTATACGAAGATGCACAAAACAAAGGAGCTGGGTATTCGCAGTGTTTCCATGGTGACAGGACAACTGAACACAACCAGTACCTGCTTGCCGGCTGGAGAAGGCAAAGACAATGATGTCATCAAAGGTCCAGGTATAGTCCTGGTGTGGGGGATAGAACACCAGCTTGTCAGAGGCTTCCTTCCTGAGGTCAATCAGGAAGGTGGAGTGAACCATGGGGACGGGAAAGCAGCCCATCCTCTTCCATTCTCTGATCTGAAGGTAGTCTGGGGTGCGTTTATAGAAGCCCTGGAAAAGAGAAATAGGTGGGCTTTGTTCTCAGATCTGAGACCTTCATCTTTCCCAGTCTTCCGCTAGGCTCCTTCCTTCCGAGCCACCACCAGAGTTAAGGAGAAATCCCGAAGCAGAGTCATTTCCCTCTTCTTATCTGAGCCTAGGAATTTCCAACAGAGCTCAAGCAATGCTATTTGCAAAGAAAATAACACTTCAAGGTTCTTGTTATCAGAAATAATTTTGGTTACAGCCTATCTCTGGATTTAATGATCTCATGAAAGTATATTTTATGTGGATGTATGATTGAATGTGAAGGGTAAGTATTAAAAGGTGGTGGGGCAGAGCAGTTAAAAGCACAGGTTCTGGTGTTTGGCTGCCCAAGTTCAAATTCTATCTCAGCAGCTTATTTTCTGGAGGTACCGGTCAGGTGACTCAACTTTGCTGTGTCTATTCCCTCATCTGTAAACCAGGAACGATGACACGGTCTACTCCATGGGCTTGCCTGTAAAAATTTGGTAAGGTAAAATCTGAAAATCGCTTAGAATAGTGCCTAGCACCCAGAAAGCATCAAAAAAATATTGGCTAATACTAAAATTACTACGTTACGTGGCTAATATTTTTAACGAAATATGCAGTACTTAAACATAGAAACAGGGTCCTTCCGTGCAGTTACTTACTCAATATTCTGGTGAAGCTGCCCCTGCTCCACACTCTTTTGGGGATTCGCCTTTAGAAAGTTCTTTCTGGATGAGCACACAGGACAACCAACCTCCTTACTCTGTGGTTTTGAACACGCTGGCTTGGAAAAACCCAGCTTGGTTTCCCCCCAAACTTAACTGCTTATTCAAGAAACATCTACTGGGCGCTTGCTGGATCCCAGGCACTGTGTTTAGATGCTGGAGACTTAGCAGTGAACAGGCATCCCCGGTCTCAGCCCTCATGAAATATGGCATCCACGGGAGCTTCCACTCTAGTGGCACTCATTATATCTTGACTGTTGCCAAAGCTCAACTCTGTTCCAGAAAAGGTGATGATGTATGATGTATGTGAGAAGTTGTTACATGGATGTGGAAGCTTTGAAAGGCATTTCCAAAAATGTTCGAGGCTCACGGAATGAGTGTGAGCCAGTACCTTGAAGGGAGTCACAATACTCCGCGGACAGAGAACTTCTCCCATATTCACTGATTGTCACCTTATTTTATGGTCACGTTTTCTGCTGAAATGTCAGCGCCCACACGTTAGGCACGGCAGCCTCTTCTATCTCTGCAACATTTCCTTCAAGGTCTAAGTTGTTCTGGCTGAGCTCACCCTAACACTGACCATGTGATGACGTAGAAGGATCACAAATTAAGAATTTGAAAGATGGGAGTGTTAGAATCATCTTAACCTTCCTTTAGCTGTTTGATCTCAGTCCCTGTTTAACCACTTTGAGCTGACTTTTGTCTCCTGAAAAATGGGATTAAGGGCTGATTGGTCTGTCTCGTGGGATTACAGAATGGACCACACGTGATAAGGTCTGTGAAGCTCCTTTGATAACTGTAATTCATTACGTGAAGTAGTATTATGGCTACAAAGTTTTATTAGCCTTCAATTTAAGGATTGCTTAACATCCTTCAGTTCATGAGCATTCTTCCAAGGGATAAAGGCAACACTGGTTTTTTGAAGGACTGCCTAAGAACACATGTCAAATACAAAGTTCTAGACTACTTAGGAATAATATTCTCAGAATGAGAAGTTTGGAAAACTCATGACGATGAATCACTGAAACTCCTGAGTGTGAGCAGAAGGAAGCAGAGAAAATGAGAGCAAGAAAGAGAGAGAGAATGAATACCCCTTCTGCAGAGAGCAGAGGTGACAGATGTGTCTTTTTTTGACAAAAAAAATGAATGTTTTTGGTAATAAATAATTCCTGTTCTTGGCCAGACAACACCAGGGTCATTTTGTTTTGGCTGTGTTTAAGGTCTCTGGAAACCAGGGCTGCCTTTAGCTTATGAAGTCATTGCCTGCTTCTGTTCCTACCCTAGCAGAAGTCTGACTAAGGATGGTAGAAAGCCAAAAAAAAGATAGAACAAATTAGAATTGCCCCTAAGTTGCTCTCTATTTTACTGTGCAAAATAAGTGAGCACATTTCTCCTGTTAGCTTTTAATGATTAAAGCAAATAAGGAGATAATAAAAACCTAGAGGCTGTAGTTATGAGGGTAATCCACCCGTTTTCCTGGTGTCAACGCATAACTCATTAAAAACAGCCCTCGAGTGATTCTACCATGTGAAACACTGAAGATTATTAACCGAGAGAGTATGAATTTAAATGAACTTAATAAAACATCCTATCCCCAAGGAACTGAATGTCTTTTATAAATACGAACTGAACGTCTCCTTAAAAGAGATGTGGAGAGCCTGCATTCACGATCTCTCAGAACTGCAGGAAATAACTGGTCCCACAGTGGGCTAGAGCTACTGTTTGTCAGAAATTTCAGAAATTTTGCAAGCCAGCTGACATTTTGGTAGCTTAAAATCTGTTAAAAAAAAAATCATGTTAATTCCCACCATTCTAAAATACCACAGACGGTAGCTTTGCATATTTTCTTTGTCATTCTATCACCAAGAGGCTACACTGCAATTACTTAACTTTCCCTCACTTCGACAACATTTAAGTTGTTTCACCTGGTGGGAGTAGCGACCCTATCAAAACCGGCAAATGTGACCAATCAGGGCTTTTCCCCAACAGAGAGCTAGTTGTCAAACATTTATCAGCACACCCCTGAACTCATTCTGCATCCAAAACCAAACCAAATATAAAAGAGGGACTCAAAATTTAACCCTTTGAGCATCAGAACACAGTTAACATGCATTTTTCCCCCTTAGCACAGCTTTATTCCATATTTGATCGGCTGATCTCTTTAGTTTACCTAACTTATTAACTAGAGACTTAAAAATACAATCACCTCGAAGCATTCACTATAAGAGTTCTAGACTTTGAAGATTTTACAACGGAAAAGAGAGATGATGGAAATGTAAAAAAATGTTGTGTTTCACTTGAATTTTGTAAAAACCAGCTACCATAGCAGCTCTGATTCTTAGACATCTTTGGGGATAAATTTGGCAACATATATCAAAGGTCATCAAAATATGTATACTCTTTGACTCAGTAATTCTACTTGTAAGAGACTATCCTAAGAACATAATATTAAATACAGAAAAATGTACACTAATCATCATGGTCATTATAATAGATAAAAGTTGCAAACAACTTGACTAATTTCAAACTCCGAGAAAGGTTAAGTAATTTGCATTACAGCCACTTGATGATATAGTTATTAACAACATGATGTTATCTAAGAAGTTAGAGTGGTGGTGTGGGCCACATAAAATTTTTTTTTTTTGCTTTTTTCCATTTGCAACATTTTCTATAGTGTTCTTATGCTTTAATACCAAGAAGTCCTATTTAAAAAAAAAAATCTCAGAATTGGAGAGGAAAAAAGTACAAGTATCAGTAAGTTTTACTGGTTAAGTTAAGGCTTCTAAGGGTAAGTTCATTAGAATATTTTCTTCAAAATTCATTAATACAAAAGAGCTCCTTGGATTATGCATTAGACATGGATTTCCTTCTTTTCCTGAACATACTTATCCTGTAACACCCTGACACACAAGTTTCAAGGGAGGAAGTGAGCAAAAAGGCCAATGGGGCCATGGTTGACATAACAGCTTCCTTGTTAAAACCCATAGCCAGAAGACTTGCCTGAGGTGTGATTCCGCACCAGAAATTAGAGTACAGGCCCCGAGACTCCAGCATGGGTGCCACAATGGTTCTGTTTTCTGCAATCATCAGACTGAGGGTTTGTGGATTAGTCAGGAAGTTGTCCACATCTATGAACTAGGAAAAGGAAAGGATAATATCAGGTGAAAAAGTACTTTTCAGTATTAGGTTCAAGACTAACCCAGCACTTCTGAAGGATCACAGAAACTTGCCTGTGAGAAATGGAACCAGTCATTTATGTTCTCCTTATTGAAACTTGTTGAGGCCGGATGGCATTCATTTGGACAAAACGTATCTTTAGACTCACGTCCACATGTCTAGCTCTGCATAAGGCACCAAGCAATAACTCGATGTTACCATACCGGGTTCACACTCAACCAGCACTCAACTCACACCTTGGTTGTGGTTAATAACCACTGATAGCTCCCAAGAGCTCTTAAAGGGTCATCCAAAAACACTCATTGAGTGCCCAACCTAGGTACAAATGAACAGGCTTATCTAGGTTGTCCATAGGAACGCCAAAATGGCCCAAAACAGATCCATCAATGCCATTTTAATGTTACAAGTATAATTTTTGTTGAACATATGTAATACCAACCCATGAAACTTTTTGCTCTCTTAGCAGAAGCTATCTTCGCAGAAACTTTTTGCTCTTTTAGCAGAAATCAGTGTTAACACTGATTCATATATAGGGATAGTTTAACAATAGATTCTATTATATAAAATAAATAATCTCACTGAACTGTACACTTAAGGAATTAAAATGATAGATTTTGTGTTATGTATATTTTACCACACACACACACAAATAATAAATTCTTATGATAGTCAATCTGTTTACCCAAAAACTTGGGACTCAGCATATGTAAGCTTTAATGAAAATTAAACAGCTTTATAATGTTAAATGTCATTTAAAAAAAGATTTTATTTATATTTGACACAGAGAGAGAAAGCAAGAAACAGAACACAGGCAGGGGGAGTGGGAGAGGGAGTAGCAGGCTTCCCATTGAGCAGGGAGCCTGATGCGGGGCTCGATCCTAGGACCCTGGGAACATGACCTGAGTCAAAGGCAAATGCTTAATGACTAAGCCACCCAGGCGCCCCTAATGTTAAATATCATTAACTTGAAAATGTATATGAAATTATTTGTATTGAACAGATGCATGTGACAAATTATTGGGCTGATTTTTATTGTGATTATGGGCTGGGATGGACATAGGTCTAAAGTATTCCTTTTAGGAATCAGAGTTTAGTGATGGAGAGCAGATATTGACAAGTCTAATAAAACCATATTGTGTTTGCTTTGATAGTATTTGTAATATTGTCCTGGAAAATGCTCACCAAAAGAATTAAATGGATTTTGGGGCTACAGATGAAGAACTTGATTCCCAGAAGATTGTGGGGAAAAAAAGCCCCTGTCAAAAAGGGAAATGGCAACTGTAAAACTTGCAGCCTAGGAAGATGTCCTCCTTTCCAAGCAAGTTAGGTTCCTAGAGGACAAGGACAGAAGATAACACTGATTTTTATCATTAAGTCCAGCATTTTTCTGGACTGCTCCCAAAGTTCTAAGAAAAGTGATGGAACCTCTCCACAGAGTGAAACTCTCCACGAGAACCCAACATAATTAGGAGCAACCAAGAAGCCAAGCATGAGATGCCATTCCCCTTCCAGGGCTGCAGAGCCCTGACTCCTCCTTTAACTGGGCTATTTCTCAGGATTGTTTGTGAAGCTGGTAACTTTGAAAGACGAAGTCACATATTTTTCCCAGAAAACGAACATGTTTGCTTACTGCTTGCTATAAATGCAGTGGGTGCCCTGAGTTCTGGGTTCCTCAGCTGTGCTACCAAAACCACTGGATGCAGAGCACCCATCTCAGCCCACAACATCCCCTGTGTGAGAAGTGGGGGTCAGGGAATGGCCACAAGCATGCTGATGGACATGCTATTTACTGTAAGCAAGAATCCATTGTCTCTTAAAAATAGAGGGATGACATCCCCCAAATCACTGAGGAATAAAAGGGAATGGAGTTTTGGAGCTGTTAATTTGAATCTTTTTTTAAAGAATTAGTTTTTTGTAACTGAAAAAAATTTCTGAAGAGTTATTAAGTATCTTCCCTAATAAATCTTTTAAAAAGGTGGGGAGGGGTGTGCATGAGTGGCTCAGTCAGCAAACCTTTGACTCCTAGTTTTGGCTCAGGTCATGATCTCATGGGTCTTGAGACTGGACTCCAGGTCAGGTTCCATGCTCAGTGGGGAGTCTGCTTGAAGATTCTCTCCCTTTGCCCCCTCACTCACTCTCTCTTTAAAATAAATGAATAAATCTTTAAAAAACAAAAAAGAATCTTCCTGAGCATTCCCTATGAACTGAAAGGATTTAGAGTCTCTTATCCCTATTACATGAAAGAGATCAAATAATCCAGGAGTTTTTTTTGCTTTCTCACTGAAAATTCATGTCAAGAGAGTTTTGAGATGAAATCCAGGTACCCCAATATGGAGTTCCCCAAGTCTTCCCCTGTGTCTTTATTAAAAAGTGGAGGAGGGCCTCCTGGGTGTTTCAGTCAATTAAGCCTCCAACTCTTGATCTCAGCTCAAGTCTTGACAGGTCTTGATCTCAGGGTCCTGAGTTCAAGCCCTGTGTTGGGCTCCACACTGGGCATGGAGCCTACTTTAAAAAAAAAAAAAAAAAAGAAGTGGGGGAGTTGGTTCTTAAACAAAAGGTTGTTTGAATGGCTTCCATAGTCTCAAGTTTCAGACAATTGATTTAGACATATTCTAGATAAGAGTTGTCAAGAAATCAAACATCTTTTTTTTACCAGAATGTAGTCTGACCATTTTTCCCTCGCAGTTCGAAGGGCTGCCTGCCGTAGTTTCATCACATGGGCAAATCGGGAGCCTGGCCAATGCTTTGGTCCAATTTCATCAGGGTAAGACCTAAAATATAATAATAATAATAATAATAATAATAGTAATAATAACAATCATAGGTTATAATTATTGAGTGCCTATATATTCCAGGCTCTGTCCTAAATGTTAATATGCACTCATTTCAGCTTCCATCAACCCTAGGAGGTAGGTACTATTATTGTTATCATCTTCAACATATTACAGATAAGGAAGCAGAGATTAAGTAATCTGTGGCTTACTGTACACAAGAATCTTTATATGAAATAGTTCAGTGGCTTCTAAGAAGAACCTACAGAGTCCTTACAAGATTAGTACCTTGTACATTTCACAGACAAGGAAATTGGCTCTGAGTAGTCAAGTCATTTGCCTAATGCTGCACAGTTAATAAGGGGCACGGCCAGAATTTAAAACCAGGCATAACCCCAAAGTTCATATTCCTAAGCACTTTTTAAAATATTCTGCCATCAAATAAATTTAAAGATTTTGCAGCATAAAAAGATGAATTTCCCAGAAAAAAACAAAGTTAAAATTACTTGATCAAGTATCAGTAAAGAACTCCACAGAGCTGAACAGACTGACTTATCCCAGGAGAGTGAGATCATGGAGCAGATGCATAATATCATTGGAATCTCTATCAACACCTACAAAACAGCCAGGGCAGAACTCTCACATGGCCATGTTAGTAAGTGGGTTTGGCATACCCTCAAGAACCCTTCGGAAAGCTTCCAACTGGTGTGGGTGTTGATACTGTCACAGTAGCCATTTCAAGTTCTAGCTGCTCTAGCTATAGGAAATAAACAATATGCCAACTATACATACCTATGTAATCACGAAAACATAATTATATAAATCATATTAACAAAACTATGTCCTGTACAGGGCCCAAGATGTCTTTCCAATTATTGCTTCATTGAAAATCAGTGGAGTCCTGTTTTTCTCAATATATTACCCCCAAAATGCCTTCACTAATATTTTTCACACTGACCTTGACATTCAATATATTTAGTCAGGATCTGGGAATAGAGAAAATTACCAGGGTGCAAGGTAGTTACATAGTCTTTTTGGCTGTTCTAGTTAGGCCAAATTCCATTATAAGAAACTCCAAAAAAGCATTCAAAATATTTTATAGTGTTCAAATTTCATTGGTAAATTTTGTTTGATCTATGGACCATATGCTGGGATTTGAAAAATATGTGTATACATATATAATAAAACTATTACATATAAAAAGACTAAAAAAATCTGTTCTGGAATTGCATTTATTATTATTATTATTATTATTATACAAATTTGGCTTTCAGCAAATGATTTATCCTGAGCAAAAATTCAAGCAACTCAATTTATTCTACTTCTACAATTTCTTAAGCTAGAATTGCAGTAGCCTTGGGAACATTTACAATAGTTGGTTTTAAATACACTTATTCATGTTGTCATTTGCTCATTTGCTTATCCAACAAGTATTAATTTAGTGCCTGCCAAGAACATAGCACTGGGGAAAAATATGAAGTATTTATATACTGTAACCTCTGCCAAAGAACCCAAAAATCACTTCGAAGAAATACATAAATTACACAGTTAATTAACAAAGTTAGTTGCATGTATTGCTATGTCAAAAAGATGATGTAGGAAATAAACAATACAAGTATTGAGAAAAAGGTAGATCTTTGTAGCTGGAATGATTAGGAAGAGTTTTCTGTAGTAGGTGGTGTTTGGCATAAGAGCTGGTTACAAAGACAGAAAGAAAGGGCTTTCCTGGAGAACAAACTTGCATGGGTAACAGCTTGGGGTTGAAAATAAAAGGAACATTCTAGACAAAGCAGTTTTCTTTTGGGAAGAAGCAAGAGATATGGGTGCACCGCTGTTGGTGTTAAGTTCATGGAATCTTTAAAAAGTGTAAGTCTAAAGAATTTGAACTCTATTCTGTGGGTACTGGAGAGCCACTGGAGTCCTTTTAACAGAGAAATTGAATCACGTCATTAGTGTTGTAGGTAAGTTGATTTGACAGTAGGATATGTAGGAGGATCTTGAGGATGGAAACAACCAAGATATTGCTATGGTTAAAGGAAGAAATGACCTAAATGCCCATCAGTAGGGGACTGACTACTCATTATCATTATGGTACATCCATATAATGGATACTATGCAGTCATAAAAATAATGAAACCCCTAAATTATTGCTATGGGATGATGATAAAAATATGATAAGTAAAATAACATGGTATATATAAAAATATGCCAACTTTTCACTATGATCCAGCAAATATCAAGACATACACAAAATAAGAGGAAATAATATCAATATTTTAAAATATATCCTGTGGCAATTTGTGAACTAAGGAGTACCTGAACTTGGCTGGTGGCTGCGGGAGTAATATGAAGATCTGTCAAAGGGAGAAATGGCAGGCCCTTGTAACTCACTAGATACAGAGATAACCAAGCAGTCATAAGGGCCTCGAAGATTAGACACTTGAATGACTGGAAAACTGGTAAAGGGAAGTGGGGTAAATAAAGTTCCCAAAAGGTGGTCTTTCTACTCACTCTGGTTCATCCATAGGCCTCCACTCCACATAGTGATAGAATCTCTGTACATTTTTCAACCACTCCCTGAGTATTTCTGTTGTATTATCCACATTGTGGTCTGTGGCTGCCCTGCATGAGAGAAAGTACAATATAGCTCAGTTGCCATCCAAAGAAAGAGGGGAGAAATCCCAAAGATCCCAGACTAATTGAAAGGAAAATGGCCAGTTCTAAGAGGGAAAAAATGTATATATGAAAATGACGTCCCTCATGGTCCATGTTAGACAACAGATTCCTGAAGTGAGAGATATTGCTTAGAATCATTTTTGTGTCATTAGGTCCTTAAAACAGGGCTCAGCAAATAGCAGAATCAATAAGTGTTTGCACTAAAACTGTATAAGCAGAAAATGAATTAAGAGCAAGTTAACAAATCTTTTTTGGAAATTTTTCTACTTGGCTTAATTTTTAGTTACCCAAGATGTAAACTCTGCCTTTTAACTTCTGTGACAAGTACCATCAATTTAAGCAATAATTCTGTTGCATTTTCTTTTCAAGTTTGTTTGCAGATCACCATACAACTGCTAATCAGTGGTATGGTAATCTGCTAATTACAGTTAATCTACGGTACTGCTAATCACACACACTCCAGGGGAAAGCAACAGTTTCCAAAATAAAACACAAAAATCTAAGTTATCATTACCTGTTTTGGATTAATGTTACCATTACTTAAACTAGAGTACCTTCAAAAGTCTTCAAATAATGTATACAAAACTTGTTTTTACCTTAAATGTTTAACAAATTGATCCACGTATAAGAGCTTAACTCACTTATTAGAACAAAAATACTTTCAAGTTTTATTGCAAAACAAACCCATGCTGTATATAAAATACATGACTAAAAGTTATTCAGAATATCTAAAAAAGGAAGCTATATAAGTCAACTGGAAAGGAGAAAGAAAGCGAGAGTTAAAATCCTGACATCAAATTAGGTGGAATTCTGGCCATGACAAAGAAAGCTACTTTATAATGCTAAAGGATACAATTGACATCAAAGATACAATAAATACGAACATCCATGTAACTTCACAGAGTACAGGGGTTGACAAATTTTCTTTAAGAGCAAGACAGTAAATACTTCAAGCTCACAGGCCATACACTCTCTGTTAGAACTACTTCAACCTGCCTTTGTAGCAGGAAAGCGGCCACAAACAATATGTAAATAAACATGCATTGCCATAGGCCAATAAAGCTTCATTTACAGGAATAAACAATGGATCTACAGGCTGTAGTTTGTCCATGCTTGATATAATGGAAAGGATGGAAATTGCAAGGAGAAACAGAAACACCAATAACAAGAGATGCTAGCATACCACTTTTTTTTTTTTTTTTTTAGGATATTATTCTTTTAAGTAATCTCTACCACCCAGCATGGGGCTCGAACTTATAACCCCAAGACGAAGAGCTGCAGACCATACCACTTTCAGGGAAGATGGTGCAAACGGTAGGAAGTAAGTAGACAGGGGATCTATAGAACACAACGAGAGAGAATATGCTCTCCTCTCCTGTGCGTGTGGAACGTTCTCAACAACTGACCAACAATTATACTACACGGAAAGCCTCCACAAAACTGAAAGAATATAAACAAAATTCTGCGATAATAAAGCCATAAAATCAGAAATTGGTAATAAAATAAAAAACCAAAAAATTCCACTAAGAATTCTCTATTCAACAACTATCGAGTGAAAGAAGAAGTACCAATCAATTTCAGAAATTCTGAAAAATGAACCGTGAAAACACTACGTGTCAGAATTTTTAGACACAGTTAAAGCAATGTTCACAGAAAAATTCAGTTTTACAGCCATCAGTTCATACAAGTAAGTGGGTTGACTTCCTGCAAGGAAGCTAGAAAAAAAGCAACAAAGCAAACAAGCATAAAGAAATAAATAATAAAGGAAGATAGTCCAGAAGCATAAAACAGAAAAAGGATAGAACTAATAAATTAAAATTTTGCTTTTTAAAAAAAACTTTTATTTTTGTAAACTCCAGTATAATTAACATACAATGTTGTATTAGTTTCAGGTATATAATATTGTGTTTCAACAATACTCTGTTCGGTGCTCACTGTGATATGTGTACTTTTAATCCCCTTCACCTATTTCACTTATCTTCCCACCAAAATCTCTAAAATTTTGCTCTTTTTGAGGAAAATCAACAAAGCAACCCTTTATTCATCTATCAAGACAACACGATATATAAAATAAGAATTGCCAAGGATGAAGGGAATATGATTGACGTGGAAGAAATTATTGAAATACTTTGCACAACTCAATGAAAAATAAATTTGAAAACTGGATATAATGGAGGGTTTCCGGGCGCCTGGGTGGCTCCGTGGGTTAAAGCCTCTGCCTTCAGCTCAGGTCATGGTCCCAGGGTCCTGGGATCGAGGCCACATCAGGCTCTATGCTCAGCAGGGAGCCTGCTTCCTCCTCTCTCTCTACCTGCCTCTCTGCCTACTTGTGATCTCTCTCTCTGTCGAATAAATAAATAAAATCTTTAAAAAGAAAAAAAAATGGAGGATTTCCTAGGAAGATGCATGTTAGCAAAACTGACTTCAGGAGAGATATAAAACTTGAACAGAACAATTACCAAGGAAGAAATGAAGAAAGAGGGACAAGAAAATAGGCCCAGATGGTTTCACAGGGGAATTCTAACAGCTTTCTTAATAGACTAGATAATTCCAATGCTATGTAGCTTGTTCTCCAGGGTGTAGGAGAAACAAATGAAAATTCCAAGTTTTTGCATTTTAATAATGCAAGAGCAATATTAATATCTAAACCTGATGAAGAAACACACACAACTTCAGACCAATATCTTTTAAAGAATATACTGCAAAAATCCTAATAAAATATAAGCAAACAGAATCTAACATCCTAATTAAGAAAATATTACACAGCATAGCCTAGGATTGTTCATTATAAAAGGAAATCCATTAATATAATTCACTATATTAACAGACCCGAAGAAAAAGCATATAATTACTTCTGTAAATGCTAAAAAGGTCTTTAATAAAATTCAACATCTATTCCTGATTTTTTTAAAAAACCGTATTGAATAAAATTAAAATAGGAAGGAAGAAAGGAAGGGAAGAAAAAAAGAAAGCAGGGAGAGTAAACAGAAGAGTCATGGAAAGACAGAGGTGCCTGAGACTCTTAAAAGGGAATAAAAATGCTTAGAATTTATGGGCAATTTAGCAGTCCCTCCTGGAAGGAAAAGCCAGGGCCATTCTCAGCCGTACCGGTTCCCTGGGAACGTGGCCTTGATAAGAGCAAATGAAGAAGTACAGTATTCGCTTCTTCCATATACAGGCAATTTCAGTAAATAGGATTTTGTTAAATCCAATCTGTGAAGGCTTTTGTTCTTTCTATTTGAGCTTTTGGAAGTCACTGTTCCGCCAAAAGTAACAAAATCTTTAAGGGAGAGAATATTCAGAAATGTTCAAGAGAAAAAAAATAAATTGTTAAGCAAAGCAGAGTGGAGCCCCATGTTACAGAGGGGGTACATTTCTATAAAACACCAAGTAACTCGAACGTACGTACTTGAAGTCATAGGGTATAGAAAAATGGGGGATAGAGGTATAGGACTAATTGAAAATTGCTTTATAAAACGGATATTTGAACTAAAACTAGGCTTGCTGAAAATATTATTCCAAAAAATAGATTAGGAGCTGATACCAATTGCCAATTTAATCTACCTTCTTTTTTTTTTTAATATATAAGATTTATTTATTTATCTTAGAAAGAGAGAGAGACAGCATGAGTAAGAGGGACGGAGGGAGAGAGAATCTCAAGCAGGCTCCACACTGAGCACAGAGCCCACTGCGGGGCTCGACACCGACCCAAGATCATGATCTGAGCTGAAACAAGAGTTGGAGGCTTAACCGACTGAGCTGAGGAAAGGCACCACTGCGTTGAAGCCCTTCCTCATCATTTTAACAAAGTCAGTCTCACTGTATGAAATTTATTTTCCTGCTGTCCAGACTAAACAACTCCAAAGTCTGCCTAAGGATCCACTATTCACAAACATCCTTAGACCTCAGCTGCTTGGGTGTATGCAAAGACAGAGATGTCTCATTAAAAAGAGAAGCACAGTTTTAAAATCCTCTCTTTCTGGAGTGAAAACAGTTTCCTACTCAGTTACTTCCCCAAATTGTTAAGATGTTCTTTGTTCTCAGGCTTCCCAGGAAATGCACAAATCCTCAGGCTGTGGTCGGAAGTCCAGGGACACTGGGGTTTGATGTGTGGGGCCAATCTCCTGCACTGCCCCACGGGGGAGAACAGCGCTGACCCCTCCGGCCCACTGAGGAAGACTTGCGTTCCACCTCCAGACCAACTGCCCTGCCCCTCCACTCCCCCAGCCCAGGCAAATAAACAGAAATCCAGGCAGACTCTTCTACTGCTGTTTTTTTCATCCCTCTGAAAAAAAAAAAAAATTAAAAAAAGAAGTGTTTCTCTTTGAATACATAATCACAAAAGCAGGCGGGTGCTGGTCTACTTGGAGAATAGAGAGAGAGAGATAGCAAAGGCCCAGATGTGAGGTCCTGGGAGGAAACAGGAGGCTTCATGAACAGCTCTATTTTCAGAGCCCTGGAGCATAGCACCAAACAGGGTGGTGCTGTCCTTCTGGGAGTTTCCACGAGGAGCTAGATGCAGACAACTGTACAGCCAAGAAGGACTTTTCCATCAAGCTGAGAGGCTGAGGAGACAGAACGTGTGACCCTCTTTGGGGGAAGTCGAGGCATCTCTCCCAACTGAAAGCTCCTTCCAGTCCCACAGATTAAGAGCCTCGGGTTGGCTAGCATCTCCCATCAGACCGGGAAGGACACCCTGCGAGGTACCAGACATCACTCAAGGAGTCCTTGAAGAAACCCTGTGATGTGAAGAGACTTCTGGAGAGGCGACGTGCACGTGACTGACAGTCGCTTGTCAAAGTGGAAAACCAGGGCTTGTGGAAGCACAAGCAGGCCCTGGTGGGAAGAACACGCTCCCTGGAAGCAAAGCCTTTGGATTTTGCCACGGTGCTCCCCGCTGAGGGGAGGCACACTTAAATCAGCAGCCCCCTCCCTCTCTTCCCTGG